TATTTCGCGGAGTTGGACGGCACAGTCGTCGGCTACACAGCCCTTGGCGATGGTTTCTTGTCCGACAGAGCGCAAAGGCTTGTGCCCGCTGTGTGCAAGCAGATACCAGGTAAATTTTCATCAGCCGCGATCAACATTAGGAAGAAACACAGCTCCTAGGTGTGTGGGAAGAACCCAATTTGGAGAACTTCATAGCACTTTGAAAATAATAATCAGCGTCGTATACCTCGTGAGGGTCGAGTGTGTCACAACATCACAATAGTTTCTGTGTTCCAAATATGCCAATCCCGAGATGGGAAAATTTGTTAGCTCCTAACTCTCAGTGATATTGGATTGTAGTATATGTTACAGGTGAAAGGAAGAAGGCCTTCGTTCCGGAGGTATTTATTAGAAAATGCCAACTGAATAGTTACGGACTATTGGACATGGAACCAAAACTCTCATATGCATCTTGTTTACAAAAACCGAATATCCATCTTCTCTTTGAACGCGTCTTCCCGGATATTCACTGACTGTTGCTGAAATCCAAACAAATGCTACATAGCGACTCCACAAATTCCGCAACAGATCTCCCCTGTTCAAGAGACGCCAAGCGAATTTCCACGAACAACACATACTACCCGAATCCCGTATTATCGGGTAACTAGGCTTGAACGGTTTTCTAAGCAACGGCTTCTTGGATTACACTTCATACGGATTACCGTTGTTTTGTTGGTATTCGTCAATTTTCAGTTTTCACGGAAGCGTGCTTGAATACATTGGCCGAATCCCTAAATTCACACATTCGACTGGCCCGTTGGTTTTCGGTGTTCTCAAAACAGCCGTCGAATCTGTAAAATTCATAGACGTGGACAATAAGGCCACATTCTTGCAGAAAACCACCTTTGTGCCAAAGTCAGTTGGCGGTTCGAACTGCGTGAATGCTTACCGCATTTCCTTAGACGTTTCGAATAAGCACCGATGATACGCAATAATGTTCCCACTGTCTTCCGAAACCGTTTGTTTATTCTACGGCAGAGGGCCGGTGGAGGAGTATGATGGTACGGTAACGTAGCAGGGAGGAAAAACCAGCATGAGAAATCCAGAAACATAACGCACGAAGTTTTTGTTATTGAATATACTTGTGTCAAGACATCGACCACTCTGTAACTAACGGTGTCTGTATTTTACTTGCCCACGGCTATTAACTTTTACAGCTGTTTGGTCCTTAATAACTGGTGGCTGGCACTTAATCTGTTCGCTGAGCTTGGCAATTGGCTTGCAAACGTTTCGTCTCCAGTTGAGAAGACATCATCAGTGCGCAGTTGAGTCCTTCATCAAGCAAGCACGCCATAGCTATTTAGTGTTTTTTAACAAATACTGGCCAGTGTTCCAGGCTGCTGAAATCATTCAGTTGCCCTGTCAAAATAACATGCTCTTAAGCGAAATACACTCATTTGCAAACGAAATTGGTCTTGCGAGAGACTCACCTCCAAACCTAGCTGGATCTCTCGTTTGTGATGTGTCCAGGCAACTGGATGGCTGCACCAGGCCGCCTCATGTTTCAGTCGCTACGATATTCGAGATATCATGATGCATGTATATCTTCGTAATGTACTGTCGCGTCTCGAAATTACCTCGCTCATACTTCACTCCATATGATTGGCCTCTATCTGGCTGATTTGGGGAGGATTACCTTA